AGCCAAGATGATGTGTGAACTTAGACCTCTTTTTTTGGCCTATTTTGAGACAGGGTCTCCCTGTAGCCAGCCAAGATGATGTGTGAACTTAGACCTCTTTTTGGGTCCATTTTGAGACAGGGTCTCCCTGTAGCCCTTGCTGGCCTGGAGCTCACTATGTAGACCAGGCAGGCCTTGAACTCATGCCTTTGCCTCCCAAGTGCTGAGATTAAAGGGGTGTGCCACCATGCCTGGCTGAACTTAGACCCTCTTAATGTATTATTTGTATACACACACACACACACACACACACGCACGCGCACACAGAGGCATGTGCATGCCACAGCATGTAGGTAGAGGCCAAAGAACAACTTTCAGGATTTGGTTCTCTCTTTCCACCATGGGTTCCAGGGATTGAACTCTGTCATCAGGCTTGCACAGAAAGCACCTACTGATTCACTTTACCAGCCTAACTTTGACCTTTGAGTCAATTCAATAATAGTTATTTTATACCACAGGGTAAATGTTTGGCGCTTTTATATTGAAAAGGTTCATGAAGATTTTTGGATAGATGTCAATTTTTAAAAACAATTCCGTGGTTAATATTGCACCTTAGTGTTGGTACTTTTGTCACTCTGAAAAAAATAACTGACACAAACAATGTAAGGGAGAAGAAGGATTTGGGGATCATAGTTTCAGAGGTTAGGTTAGCGGTCACCAGGTTTCATTGCTTCTAGGCTTATGACAAGGCAAAAACATCATGGAGGAAGGGTGTGGCAGAGGAAAGCTGCTTAGGTCATGGCAGCTAGGATGCAAAGAGGAGAGACAGGAAGGGGCAGGGACAGGATACCCTTCCTGCCAGGTGTCGTGGTACATGTTTATAATCCCAACACTTAAGAGGTAGAGGCAGTTGGATCAGGAAGTAAAGATCATACTTGGCTACATAGTTAGTTTAAGACCAGCCTAGGCCACATGAGATCCTATCTTAAAAGAGGTGGGGTGGGGGGGGGAGATATCCTTCAATGTCACACCTCCAGTAACCTCATATAATGGTTTATTATAAAGAATGCATCTTTAATGATACTAAGTATCTTCAAGATGAGAGAAGTGGGTTGGGCCAGATTACCCGCAGCCACAAATCTGTACCAAGGAAGGTAACCAAGGTAAGTAAAAAAAGAAATTTCTGGTGGTCTTAAGAATTGGAAAACTAGCCAGGCATGGTGGCGCACGCCTTTAATCCCAGCACTCTGAAGGCAGAGGCAGGCAGATCTCTGTGAGTTTAAGGCCCCAGCCTTTACATAATAAGTTCCAGGGTAGCTGGGGCTACAGGGAGACCCTGTCTCAAAAAGATAAACAGGACCTGTATTACTAAGAATAGCAATGAATATCACAATATCTAGAGATTTTGACTGTTTATTATAGTATCTACATGTTTTATACCATCTTCTAAACTGTCTTTCTTAGAAATATTAAGCCATTTTTCTTAAGTAGAGTTGGAATTTATTGAAAGATTTTAATACAGATTTTAATCACTAGGGTTAAGAGACAGAAAAGGTGCTAAACAGGAAAGTAAGACATGCTTGAGAATGTGGGTGTGGCATCTCAGAGAAGAGGAGTCACCAAAACAACCATTTTTAACAGGTTGTGTGTGTGTGTGTGTGTGTGTGTGTGTGTTCATGTGTGTTTGTTTCCTTTTGAGGCAGGGTCTCACTAGGTATAGAAGGCTGGTGTAGATATGTAGACCAGGCTGGCCTGATCTCACAGTGATCCCCCTATTTCTGCCTCCCTAGTGCTGGGATTAAAAGTGTGCACCACCACACCTGGCCTTCTCTTTCCTTTTTTGTTTTTGAGGTGTTGAGGATTGAATTCAAGGCCCTGTGCATGCTAAGGATGAAGCATGCATTCTAAACTTCAGCTTTCTTGGGTTCTGTTTGGTTTTGTTTCATCATGAATAGATTTAAATGAATAAACGAATGCATGAGTCTTTGAGCTCCTCCCAGTGCTTGTCACACAACAGTATAGTCAACAAATTGGGGATGCTTGGTTCATAGGAGTACAGTTGTGCCCTGAGGGGCTCAGCAGGGATGGGCTCAAGGTCTCCAGACCTCCGCCAAGGGCACTGCTCTCTTCTTACCTTCTATTTCTGAGTCGCTGTCATTTAGTGACGGGATGTTGATGAGCGTCTGTTTGCTGTCTCTCAACACCACGAGCTGAAGTTTTCCTCTAGACTTTTCTATCAACTTTCGAGCATCGGTTAAAGACATGTTCTCAGTAACAGTTCCATTGATCTGTATACAAGAAGAATGGTTATGTTATGTTCAGGGTTATTCATGGGGAAGTAGAAAAGTTACACTTTCCCTTTCTAAAAATGGAAAGAGGGGCTGGAGAGATGGCTCAGCAGTTAAGAACACTGGTTGTTCTTGTAGAAGACCTGGGTCGAATCCCAGCACCCAAATGGCAGCTAACAACTGTCTGTAACTCCAGTCCCAGGGGATCCAACAGCCTCTTCTGACCTCCTAGGGCACTGCAGGATACAGGAACACTTACATGCAGGCAATACACACATACACATTAAAAATAAAAAATTTTAAAAAATGGAAAGAATTTGTTCAGATAATCAGAGCAGACTTCAGGATGATAGATGGAATAAAAATGAATGATTATCCTTTCAATTAAATGTAATCATACATACTTGATCTCAAAATCAGACACAAAAGCGTCACAGTGTACTTAAGTTACTCTGCTAATTAATTTAACATCTAAGCTCAAGATCGTGGCTTGGTTTACTACTGGAACATGTTTCCTGATTGGAGAGGTTTACTGAAACTATTAAATATTCAGCATTCATATATCAATACTTCTCAAGTTCATGTTTCCTTGATATAGGGAACAGGAACTTAAACTTTAAATAAACGAGAAAAGAAAGCATTCCAAGGTTTTTTTCTTTTCTTTTCTAAGCTGTCATTAAATTAGTACAACTTCTAAAAGCTAGATCTTTTTCCTTTCCTTTCTTTTTTTTTTAACACCCCCCCCCCTTTTGGGTGGTGTTAGAGATGGCCCAGGCCTCACACATGCTAAGAACAGCTCTACTCCTGAACTGTTTCCCTGGAGTCTGGTTTTTCTTGGACAGAAGTCACCTCATTGTGCTGCTGACCACTAGCTCACTACTCATCTACTACAGCTGAAGTTTTCTACACTGGTGTTTAGATGTGGAAATGCAGGAACATACAAAGGCACACAACTGTTCCCTGAACTCCCACCTTGAGAATTATGTCCCCCTCGTGGAGGTTGCCATCTTTAGTTGCTAGACCGGTTCTGGTCATCTCCTTGATGAAGATCTGACTCCCGAGCCGGAGCCCGTACTCTAGAAGACACAGTGAACGAACATGTACATCCTCAACTTACTAAAAAACTTAAGTCTGCCTTTGAAGACTACTTATAACATTTAGAAAAACTCAATTTGTAAATAGGATATTCTATAAAACAATTCGCTTAGATTCTTGAAAAAGGAGAGAAAGGATTAAAGGCAGAGGATAAAGTGTGTAGAAAGCAATAGAAAAAAGGACAGAGGAGAAGAGAGAAAGCTAATGTGACAAAATGTTAACAGCTGGTAAAACTAGGTGAAGGCTACGTGGCTGTTTCTAGTAAAATGAACATTTCCAAACAAAAGATTAGAGACAAGCCCAGCTCCACATATCATAACAGGACTTGTGGGACAATGGGGCTGGCCACAGAAAGGTGGTGCACAGAGCATATCTTCATCTGTAACAATTTACACTATGTGGGGTTCAGCTTTGAAAGACATGCAGCTTGTCAAAAGAGATCAGTAAGCTGGGGTAAAGGAATTGCTAAAGCACTAAACCCCAACAGCACCCCAGGGACTTAAATTGCTCGCAAAAGAAAGAAAAAAACCTTACTATATTTACTAGTATGATTTTTTTAAAATATTTTAACTGCTCTTGTAAAAATATACATTTTAAGGATGAACTGTAGTGACTTAAGAAACTATCATAACCAAGCCAATCTGAAAACAGACATAATCAATTTTTAAATTGTTATTAGTGTTCTCACTGAAAAATGCATATTTAATAAAACAAATTAAATTAGCTTTCTTTTAAAAAATTAAAAATTATTATACAGGAAAAGTACCTTTCTGTAATCACAAAGAAGTAGGTTTAAAATCAGTCTTAATAAACTACAGTAAACATATTAGCATTTGATCTTATCACAGAGATAAAAAATGCTAAGCTGAGAAGGGTCCCAGTTGCCTGTGGTGTCAGCATGCACAAAACCCACACAAACTTAAGCAGACAAAAACCCAGCACAGAACTGTGGAAATGAACAGGCCCCAATTTTAGTGGCAGAATTACTGGCAGCTGATTACTGCTGGGTGAGAAAGAGATCATCATCATCATCATCATCATCATCTTTTTTTTTTTTTTGGTCTTTTGAGACAGTGTCCCCCTGCAGCCCCAACTGGCCTGGAACTCACTCTGTAGACCAGGGTGGCCTCAAACTCAAGAGATCTGCCTGCCTCTGCCTCCCCAGTGCAGGGACTAAAAGTGTGTGCCACCACACCCAGCAGAGCTGATCTTCTTAAAGGGAGGGACTCTAGATAGGCTGACTAAATCCCAATGGATGAACCTGCACTGAGAGACATCTGGGGACATTAACTTTACATGATAGGTGTTAACACAAATGACAGAATATATGAACTCCAGTGGGGGGCTATGGGAGGGTGCCAAAGGGGAAGAGGGAATAAAGATGATTTTATATAGATACACAAAAACTCAAAAAATTTTTTTTAAAGTACTAGCACTCCAGAGGCAGAGGGAGGTGGATCTCTGTGAGTTCAAAGCCAGCCTGGTCTACATAGTGAGTTTCAGGCCAGGTGGGGCTACAGAAGACCCTGTCTCACAAAGGGGGGAAAAAAGTGGAATCAGAGTTGGAGAAATGAGTCAACAGTTAAGAGCATTGGTTGCTCTTGCAGAGGACCCAGGTTCAGTTCTCAGCACCCACATGGTGGCTAACAACCATCCATAACTCTAGTTCCAGGAGATCTGATGCCCTCTTCTGGCCTCTGTGGACATTGCATGCATGGGTGAACATTACATACATGTAAGCAAAACATTCATATACATAAAATAAATATAAATTAAAAAAACATTTAAAGTATAATCAGGGGGCTATCAGCTGTAT